AGAATTGCATTAAAATAAATGGGCTCCAGCTCCATAAAAATGTTTGTCTTTGACAGAGTTATAAAGCCCATAGAGCTTAAAAAGAACAAGGAAGGATGCCCTGGTGCAGATGGGAAATGAATAATTAGTTTTCCTACAAAGAAAATAAAACAGGCTGCAAGATGCAGAAAACCACATTTAGGCTCTATTACATTTACAAATACATACATAAATATATTACATACAACAGCAACTCAAAGAGGAAGCGGGCGAGTCACACACAGGATGGCTGGCTGGCTGTAGTTCTCCCCGCACAGACAGTTGGCTGAGCAGTTACTTCTTCTCCTAATAATTCCAGGAATGGGCCTCAGCTTTTTAAATTTTTCTCTTTTCTTTTGTTTTTTCTCCACCTCTCCTTTCATTCTCTCCCTCCTCCCTGGTTTCAGATTTAGTTTGTCCAGTATGGAGAAGTGCCATAGGCGGTTTTGGTAGCCTGAGACTTTTGCTGCATGGTGCTGGGTTGGTTGCGTTGGCCAGATCCACCGTAGAAATCAGAAAGGAAGGAGACATGAGCATCAGCGATCCCAGATGGATGTCACCAAGAAGAGCTGCTGCCCCTGGGACAGCCCTGACACCCACCAACACAGTGATGCTCCCCCTGAACGGATCAATTTCTGCTCTGCAACACCTCCGTGTCTTGCAACCTAGGACAAACAGCCACAGACACACCAAGCAGGAGCACAGGGACGCACCATCCCACCGTCCCAAACCTGAGACAGGTTCAGGCACGAGGAAGGAGAGGAGCAGGACTGGGGACACCAAAGGAGCTCTCTCAAGGTGAACGGAGGCCTAGGATGTCACAAATTCAGAGAGAGAAGTAACTTCCTATTTCTGGACTGTAAGGCACTGTTCTTTCAGGGAACGTTTATAGTGAGGAAAGGAAAGGCATGGGCTTTTTTTGAAACCAAATCAGAAATCAGAGCTGACATGCAGCCTGCAAGGGGATGGCTGATTTTTCCATGAGAGTTACAGTACAAGTGCTCATGTCCTGCTCTCCTGCTGCAACTAAAGAACAGCAGTGCCTGCCTCAGCTTCACATCTCACAGCCCATCTCTCCACATCCCACATCAGGATGGCCTCTTCACAGAGTCACAAGCTGTCTGAGGCTGGCAGGGACCTCTTGAGGTACCTTGTCCAACCCCTCTGCTCAAGCAGGGTCACCTACAGCCTGTTGCCCAGGACTATGTCCAGACAGCTCCAAGGATGGAGATGCTGCAACCTCCCTGGGCAACCTGTGCCAGTGCTTGGTCAGCATCCCAGTAAAAAAAAGTGTCTCCTGATGTTCAGAGGGAAACCTCCTGTGCTTCAGTTTGTGCCTGTTGCCTCTGGTCCTATCACTGGGCACCACTGATAAGAGCCTGGCTCTGTCCTCTTTACACCCTCCCTTCAGGTATTTATATACACTGATGAGGTCCCCCTGAGCTTTCTCTTCTCCACACTGAACAGTCCCAGCTCTCTCAGCCTGTCCTCACAGGAGAGGTGTTCCAGTCCCTTCATCACCCTTCACTGGACTTTCCTGTGTGTCGACGTCTCTCTTGTACTGGGGAGCCCAGAACTGGACACAGCACTCCAGGTGTGGCCTCACTGGTGCTGAGTAGAGGGGAAGGACCTCCTCCCTTGACCTGCTGCCAATAGTGTGCCTAATGCAGCCCAGGATGCCATTGTCTGCCTTTGCAGCAAGGCCACATTGCTGGCTCATGGTTAACTTGGTGTACACCAGGAGGCCC